TTCAGGTTACAATATGAACAGGAGTATGAAGGAAGTATGACAACATACTTCAAATGGAGTATTTATGCAAGAAATCAGACATTATGCCTTTATTCTAGAGATCTAGATACACCCAGAAGTAAAGAGATTTTCACCTTTTGCTTACCTGATGCCAGTAGGGTTTTTGATCACCCTCTGCTGGCTGTACTGCCAGGACTGCTTACAGTTGGATGGACTTTGGAGAGTGCTTTTATGCTCCAGCTAAGTTCCAGGCAACGCTTAGGATTTCACATTTCAGCTGTGTTACTACAGTTTAGCTACAACAATTTGGGATCACTGGCTATGTATATAGTTTTTTATTTTTTATTCAAATGGATGGAATAGAAGTCTGCCCGTGGGTCAGATAATCATCTCAGACCCATTAAATAAGCAGCTGTGACATGCATCGTAACAGTGGCCTAAACCACCATATTTTTTCAATATGACATTTCGTTGCTTTTTTTCTCTCTTGGCCTGTGGTTGGACTTACATTACAAGAAGAAACAGCACTTAGCTATAATTAAAAATGCCCTACAGTAAGTGGGATGACAAAACAATGGGAATGCTGTTCATATGGATGAAGTCAAGTGTAAACGAAGTCTAAAAGAATTAAGTTGAATGCAAGGATAAAATTATCTTGTTGGGTAGGCACAGAAAGTGTAAAATGAGCCTACCCAATACAGCAGATACTGTATTTCACAACAACAAAAAAAAGATTTTTGTGTCATGAGGCACATCCATCTTTTGCTGTTGCAGCTGAAACATAACCTTCAATTATTTGATACAGTCATATATTAATGGGTATATGTATGTAAAGAATTTCTACATACAAGCATCTACCTTGAACATGTGAGCAATATACTTATTTATACTACTTGCATGCAGTTTATAAAAACAGGAAATATTCATGATAGTATTCTTAGTATTTACTATTTTCAAGGTAGTCTGGATCTACCTGGAAGTATGTTTATTAAAACTTTATGTTGAAGAATTATGTTGAAGAGAAATTTTAAAATTAAGCTGAAGACATAATTCCGAACATAGTAAGACATACTTATAAGAAGGGCTGTTTTTTTCAGCCTTCAGTAGCTGTCATCTTGCTTCAGGTTTAGCTCTAGTCAGAGCCTTGCTGGCCAACCTACTGAGTTTCACTAATTGCCACTTGAAAATGAAAGGGAAAACTGCCTAGCTTTGAAACATTATTCATGAAAGAAGGATCGTGCTGGCTTATTTTCAGAACGGGAGCTTTTCCCCCTCTTCTTGTCTAGACAGGCCAAGTACAAGACTTTGTACTGAAAAGGGCTCTCTGGTATGTCATTAGGCACATTGGTCTAATCTGGACTGGTCTGAGTTTCCTGGTCGGAGTGTTTTGAGGTCACTCCTAGTATTTTGATGCAGACCTCTGCAGGTTTGTTTACTAATTTTCAGCTTGACAATACTCTTAATATTTGCTTTCTATTATCTCCACTAACCATCAACCTCATTTAGCTCCACCGTGCTTTACAAGGAAGGGTTCTCTTCTGGTTTTAGTAAAAGCACACACTCTTTAAATGCATTTACTATGTAAACTACTTTAAGGTACTGCATTTTTGTCTACAAGTTGCAAATACCTGGTGCAAAGTATGTTCCATGTTCAGAAATATCTGTACTTTCATTGAACAATCTGTTAATTTGTCCTAGTCCTACAATATATTTTTACTTTGAGTATTTCCTTCAGATTTCAACGAAACGTTATTATGCAGGCTAAAGTTTTGCACTTTTCTGTCCTCCATTAGATACTAAATTTTGTTAGATTTAGAAGTTACTTTTGCACATGCATGTGTTGTGGTTTGATCCTGGCCAGCAGGTAGGCACCCACGCAGCTGCTTGCTCACGACCCCTTCCTGCCCCACAGGATGGGAAAGAATAGGAAGAATTAGCAGCAGACAGTTCTAGTAAGTGAAGAAAAGAGGGGAAGAAACCAATTTGTGCAAAAGGAGTCACTACCTCCCACAAATAGACTTATGACCAACCAAGTCTCGAAGCAAGAGGAAGACAAACCCCCTGGCTTTTATTGCTGAGCATAATGTTACATGGCATGGAGGACCCCTATGGTCAGTTGTGGTTAGCTGTCCTGGTCGTGTCCCCTTCCCAGCCTCTTGCCCACCTCCTGTCTACTCCCTCAGAGCAGAAGGGTGAGAAAAAGAGGAAGCTTCAGTGATGTGCAGGCACTGCTCAGCAGTAGCCAAAACACTGGTGTGTTATCAACACTGTTTCGGTCACAAAGCCAAAATAGCACCATAAGAGCTGTTTAGAAGACTCCATCCCAGCCAGACAGCACAGGATGACTGCTTTCTTGGCAAATAGACTTTGCTGGAGATCACAAGGGAGGATGACTTTAATAACATGTTCAATTTTAAAATCAACATAGAATTCCTGTGGTATTGTGAACAATTTTCCAGTCAAGGCAGGCATATCAACAGGGAATGAGACATCTGGTGACTCTCTTTTTTAGTACACCTTGACAATGGCAATGCTCATGTATCTGAAGGAAGGAGGAAATAGCCATGACATTTTACATGGCAACTTGAGTCTGGTTTTGAATCCAAATTTTGATGTGTTGTGTTACCTAGGCCAAAAAAAAAAAACCAAAAAACCCCAACCCCTTAAAGTACTAATTCTTTTCTCTAGTTAGTCCTCTTAAGGTAATGTTAATCAGAGCTCAGAACTTTGACTTTAATAGAGCTACTAAAAATCTAGTGCTTCATTTGGTCTTTTGTCTGAAGACAGTATAATCTGGTGGCAAACAGGAACCCAAAGTTCTTAGCTTTAATTGCTTTTTAGATGACATCTTGCTTGAGCACTTTGTATCAGTCATGGAGGAAGTGTGGAAAGCTTTACATTAGGACTCAACACAAAGACACAGGAAAGAAATAGTGTGGCCAAAGTAACATGTCAAATATTTTAACTTCAGGCAATAATGGTGTTTGATATTTGTCTTTCAAAGAGAAGCAGTATGTCCTTTACCATTCTAATTTCACCCTGTGTTATATTCCTCATTTAAGATAGCTGGAAAGTTTGAACCCCTCCAAGCCAACTTTTCTAATCTTCCAAGGCAGCTTTGTTCCTTTTTTGTTCCAGTTTCTTATTTCATGAAGTTGCAGAAGTGAGTTCTGAGGTGTTGTAATTACCAGATTGTTAATATTGAGATCAATCTTTTAACCTTGCTTTCCAAAAGTAACTGTTAATGACCTACTTAATTTCTTGGATTTCAAAGGCTTACTCTGTTTGCTTATGATTTTTGTATTCTCTGTATTCAAACCAGAAAGCGTAAGCTCTTAAATGCTTCTTCAGTTCTTTGTTGTATCAGAGAAGGACAGGGTGACAAAGAAACAGGGAAAAATATTTTGTTTGTACAGTATTTTATTGTACAGTTTGAACAATTGAAAATACTAATGGGTTGGACTAAAAAAAGCATCAATCTTGAGGACCTTAGTTAGGCAAATGCTCACTGATTTTTGGGTGCAGTTTGACCAAGTGAAACAAAAAAGTAGATTTTTTTTTCCACAGGAAATATTTTTTTTCTTGCATAACATTTTATGGCTTTTATTTATATTCTTAAGTAGCATTTTATGTTACACACGTTGATGCATATATTTTTGCAGCAGCAGATTCTTGTTGGTATGTGTACCAAAATTTCATTAATACTCTTGATGAAAGTCCACAGATCACTTCTACCTACAAAGCAGATTTGCTAAGAAAAGCAGATTATTTCATTCCCATTCCCAGTTTTATTTCTTCTTCACTATTAGTGCACCTGTGTTACACATCAGATACTACATATGGGTAAATATCACATCCCAGTAACTGGCTTAAGGGCTTTTTAGAATTAGAGGTCCTGCCTAAGTGTAAGTGCTGTTAAAATTAAAGGAAAGTCTCTTGTTGATACAGTTGAAGGTGAAAAAATACTATCTCTTTTCTTCAGATCATCTCTCTGAAGCAGAATCAGCCAACCCAAACTGCAGCCTTAGGGAAGCCCGAGGTTCAGGGAATGGCACTACTTTAATACACTACTTGTGAGTGTATTAGACTTTGCTTGTCTGCTTGTGAATGACAATTGCTAGAATTTGTCAACATGCTGGAAGTGTAATCATTAAATTATAATGTGTCTAGGTATGTCCTCTGTTCTAGATGTGTAGTGTACTTAACTTTGGAACAAGCCTAGTGAGAAAGCTTTTTATAATTGCACGTATATTTTTGTGAACATTTCTTAATTACATCTTAAATACTTACTAGAAAGTATGCTTGGTCTCATAGGAATTGTTCTCATGATGGAACCATATTTAGGGGAAACTTAATTTTTTTTGTAGTGAAAAAGAATAAAGTAAAAATACAGCATGCCTGCATATAGCATTTAGACACTTTGGAAGTTTACTGACTTTGTAAGGCAAAGTGGCATGTGGGAGTTCAATGTGCAGACACTGAGTGCTTGATTGTAATTAGTTGGGAGACTAGCAAATTGATTTGGAAAAGTAGTTAAGGAACAATTGTGTCTGGACAGAAATGTTCCTGGTTACAAACTATACTTGGGCCTTACAGCTGATGCTGTCTTATGTTGTGCAAGACTTTTTAATGTGGGACAATTATTATTCTTATTCATAGTGCTGTCTTGTTCTAAATATGCAAAGTGCCACACAAACATTGAACATCAAACTAGAAAAAAATACTGTCTCTTTTTAGGAAGAAGTTGGATTTCCCCAGATGGCCGATCTGGTTTAGTAATGGATTGATTCCGGTGATCTGGAATGTGTCATGTATATATTTACATGTGCAACGCTACAAATACTATATTATGTATTTTGGTGTTAAGTGCCAGAGCCACAGCCACCGTGTTAGCATCTACTTGAAAGATATTACCTTTAATATCAGTCACCCTAGAGGTGAAGAAGGTAAGCATGAATTTCCTGACACATTTTTGTTTTGGTTTCTTTTTTGCCTTTCAGAGTGCAAATTCACCTGCGCCAGTGGTAAATGCTTGTATCTTGGTTCACTGATTTGTAACCAACAGAATGACTGTGGGGATAACAGTGATGAAGAGAACTGTCTGCTTGTAACAGAGCATCCACCTCCAGGCATCTTTAGCTGTAAGTACTGGCTCTTTGTGTGCATCCGTGTATGTATGTGTGTCAAATATGTCTGTTTACCTCAGAAATCAGTCTGTTTGGAAACTTGGTCTGCAGTATGATACCTAGGGAGATGAGACAGTGGAAGTAAATGTTGTTCTTCTCTGAAGCAGCATTTTTTTTAACACATTTTCTTTAGGTTTCTAAACCTGGAAAGTTGTAGTCATGCACAAGGAGTTTGTGCTGCAGACATTGAAGTTAAAATCATACGGATCATATGTGGTTTCTGAGAAAGAAAGCATAATACATAAATGATTAAATAATTTGTTTTCCAAGGTTCTAAAAAAATAATTTATGCTTTGTGTGACAGTCTTTATATACTATTAAGATCGTTAAGAGAGTTGTAATTTTTCCAGTCATAATTTCTATTAATCAAATATATTTTAGTAGTGCTGAGGTGAGCATCATTTAGTAGGCCACTGAGCTTTTGTAGGTATATATTTAAAAATAGCTTTAGTTGCTATTCTTTGGTGCATAAATACCTCACACAGGGTGTCAGAGCTTATCACCAGAACTGCTGTCTTAGTGCTTTGCCCTCAGTGATGTACGCCGAAATCAAAATTTGCTTTTTGTTTTTTATACGTTCTGCAATGATTTATTTTTGAACCACAGCTCAGCTTTCTGGATGGGGGAGAATTTTTCCAATAATGCTTCTGGTGTGCAAGTACCATAGAAGGGCTTTTACATTATTTAACACTTTCCAAATGGTTTGGTTTTGCAAATACATCCTTGATCATGCTGTTTCACCTCTGATTGTAACTATGGCTTAGGAATATCTGTGTTGTTATGTTATTAATAACAGGAATTATAAGCGGCATGTATCTGTTAAGTTTTGTAACAAATGTGCCATTAAGCAAGGTAGAATCACTGGAGTGGATACATCATAGAATATGAAGTCAGGTGTTGGGTATCTGCCTTTCTTCCTCTGCCCTCTAACCTCCAAATGTACATGTTTCTAAATGTTTTTAAATCTTTTCCTTTGAAGTACTTTGGTACCTCTGCAGTGATTTCAGAGGTTTTGAAGTAATAACGGCCTACACGTGCTTTTATGTTATTTCATTTTATTTTTTATTTGTTTTTTTTTTGAGAGAAACTCTTTCCAAAGCCCCAGGACTAGCCATAGGCTTTGGTGATAGGTCCAGATCAAAATGGCATGTGTATTTGCCCATGAACTTAAGCTGACTTTGGCTTTTGAGTTGTAGAAATGTTTTGCCATGTTATTGTGCATGCAAAACTTGTAAGCATACATTTAAAGTTCAGATAGATGATTGTTTTGGTTTTTTTTTCTGGGATACTGTACAACTCTTCAACCAAGCCAGCACAAATGTTTGTCCAAAGGAGCCATGAAAGCCACTGTGGTAGCAGATGGAGGGTGGGACTTTGATGACAAGCAGCAGTTGGGGCATTGCAGGTGGTGATGCTGCATGGCTGCAGTGCAAAACTGCATGGACTGGGTTCCTCTGCAGGCTCCTAGGTGGAACTCCCAAAGCCACCTTCAGCTTGAGGTCTGAAAGGTGGGGGCCGGTGGTTTTTCAGCACTTCTCTGTGCTGGTGGCAGTAGTGCGGTAATCACAGCAGCGTGTTCACAACTTGCGCTGGTCTTCTCTTCAAAAGGCCTTTGGACTGCAGAAATTGTTACTTGCTTGATCCAGGATCTACAAACTGCTGGTCTTCCCCTAAGTTGTTCCTCCCCATCTTTACAGATGTGAGGACTGTTACCACCGATGTGTCAGTTACCCTCTGGGAGGGTTTGAAAAGAAAAAAACAAACCCAACATCTTTCCATGATTTATGTTTCCTTAAATCTGTTGTATTTCATTTTCTCTGACTTCTAAAACACAGCGTCTGATAGTCCTGCTATCGGACCTGCTATATCCAGTGCTGAGTGAAGAGGAATAATTAGGTAAACAGTCTTATTAAGTCCTTCAATAGCTATATTTGCTGGGTTTGCAACAACATTGCAAACAACGAGTTTGTAGAGGGAGTACTTGATTTATTGCTAGGAGCATGCAGAAGTGTTTAACTTTTTACTCACTTTGTGGCAGGGAGAGCGAGTTGTTCATTATTTATTATATTTGGGGATACTGATAGTGACTGTACTTGCTCATAGTGATAGGGACTGTGACAAGTGCTGGTAAATTAAGGGAATCATGTTTGAAATTAAAAAAAAAACAAACCACCACCCCAAACTTGGTGAAACAAAGAGAAAAAAGATCAAAGCCAGATAAAAAAATAATACAGCCATAAATACAGTATTTAAAACAACAGAGGATTAGTGATATTTATCATGTCCTGGTTATTAAACATGCTGCTACATGGTAGAAATCAGTGCCAGTTCGTAACAGGAAAGAGCATTTTTATGGACATGGCAGTTGGTTGTGTTAGCTTATTCCAGCCTTGAAAAACTGTTTCTAGAATACTTGCTGAAGTCCCCAGGCCTTAGAGGGATGACATGTTGAATTAAGAAACTCATGCATGCTTTTGCTCAATGATTTTAATGGGGATCCCTACCAGAGTACACCACAGTGTATGCACTTGAAATGTCCCAGCTGACGAGGCTACCTTCCAGTACAGAAGTACATACATTCATTGGCTTCCAGTTAGTGACAAGACAGTAATACAGCTCAGTAAGAAGAAAATGATCACATTAAAAATAATCACTTGAGGAATTTTAAAATAGAAACTTCTTTCTGGTCAGTGTAACGTATCAGCTCTATTCTTGCATCTTCTTGATAGTGCACAGTTGTTGAACAGGGAAGAAACTGTTGAAAGGACCTATGTCTGTGTGCTGGTCTACATCCAAGCAGAGTGAGTGGTCTTTTTCTCCCTGGGCCTGCCCTTGTCTTTACTAGAATTGCATTGGTGCTACTATGGTATGCCTTTGCATCTTCTATTTCTTCAAAGAATCCCTTTCTCGTATTGTATTCAAACCTTCTGTCCTCCTGTGGTGGAATCAATATTCGTCTAAATTCACACTAATGCATACACTACCCCCAAACGATAAATAAATTTTCATATGGAAGTTCTGCTGTGGTTTATTTAAGCAATATGTGCCATGTTAGCAGTAGCCCATATTTCCAGGCTACTGAAGCATTTCTCATTTGTGTCCTTGCCAGCAGCCAGATCCAGAAATGTCTCATTGGAGTTTATCGTTTAGTTTAGTTAAGTTGCATGAGCAGTGGTATAGAGAGATATTTTTTTGTGGGTGACCTGCTCCCTGGATCTCGTTATTGTAGCAAACGCTATCTAATTGTGTTAGAGGAGTTTAAATCTCGGAGATCTGGTGTTCCTCTCTCTTTGCTCTTCTTACCTGGCTCCAGTGCGAAGGCTATTAATTTGGTCTTTTAAATGTTGCTACTGAGCTCAATAAGATGTCTCACATGTGCAAAGTTAAACAAAATGTGTATTTCTGCAGCCCTTTGGTTTTTCTATTTTCCTCTGCTGACTGGAAGGTAAGGTTTCCTTATGCTGCTGCATGGGCAATTTAGCACAGAGAAATTGGAGGCCAGCTGGAAAAAATCTTCACCAGCTCCAAGGTGTGTTAGAGACTGATTTTAGACAACACTAGCTGCAATCCAGCAAGTTGGTTCATTTACTTTTGAACTTGTTAAGGTAACAGCTTGGTTTACATTGGGATTTTTAACACAGGTTTGGTGGTGTGTGTTAAAGCATACCTCCCCCTCCTTGGTGAGGACACTGGCACCTTACTGCAGGTTTCCCCACAGGTAGCCCTGTGCAAAGTAGCCTGTGTCAACTTCCCATAGGTCTACTTACTATAATTTTCATCAGCGATAAAGACTTATTGATTGAGATAATGGAGATGACTGTTCTTTTAACACTACTTGGAGGTTGAGGGTGTATTTAACAACACAAAGCCGTGATAGCAAAAACGTGATGAAGAGCAGGATTTTACACCTTGCAGACTTTTAAACCTTGGCAGTAGCTTCCTGCTTCACATGACCTGCAAAACTGGGACTGAAACAATGTGCCTGCTTCCAGCAGGACACAGTTCATTTGTTTGAGCATTTCCCTTTGTTTCACAACAAATAATCAGCCTGCCTTGTCCTGCTAAAAGTAAATCACTTCTTGAAATGGGAAGTGTAGTCTTCTTGTCTGCAGACAGCAGTATCCAAGTCATGTCTAATTGAGAAGGGTTACAATGGTGGAGATTTTAGTTCGTTAGTTGGTTAGTGGAAAACAGTACAGGTAGTTATCTCTGCTGTGATCTGTGTTCCTGGGCATATGAAACACAAATATTGACATACATGAGAATTTGAAGAAGAATAAAATAAGGAAGAACAAATCCTTCTTGTCATGTGAAAATTATGTCTACATCAAATTCAAGTTGTCAGCATTGATGGAGGTGATGTGTCATGGCTGTTTTGGCATAGAAGAGTTTGCTGTAGGAGTTCATTTTCCTGTGCAAGGTAAAAAACCAAACAAATCAAATATATAGCTCTCTCTTTCACCACCCCCACCTACTTCTGTCAGCTCTGAGCCTTGTAGGGATCTGCAGGGGGCTGGAGAATGATTCTGTTTTAAAAACAAAAAGCTCAATCAAAGGAAAATATTTTGTTTAAAGAGACCTTTGGCATCCCCCTCTGACTGTGACACTGAATTTGCGCAGATAAAAACAACCGCTTAGATTTACATTTTGATTGTGCTGCTGCTTTCATGTGTGCTGGGCTGTCCCACTTCAGGTGAAATTTATCCATTTCTTTAAATATTTAGCAGTCTAGCGTTGATGTTAATGAAAGTCTGGCACTGCTATTTTGAGCACTGCAACAATGATAGTAATTTTCAGTGTCAGATTACTGCTTCTCAGAGGAAAAGGGAGATGGGAGGAGGGAAGAGAGGAAAAAAAAAAGGAAAAATTGTTTCGGGTCTAATAGAGTTTGTCATCAGCCTGGCTGTGCCAGACAGATGGATCATGAATACTGTCTAGACGCTCTCTGCCTGAGT